TTTTTTTAAGGCAAGGTCTCACTCTGTCACCCAGGCTGGAGTGCAGTGGCACAATCACAGCTCACTGTAGCCTCAACCTCCTGGGCTCAAGGAATCCTCCCACCTCAGCCTCCTGAGTAGCTGGGATAATAGGCATGTGTCACCATGCCCGGCTAATTTCCTTCATTTTTTGCAAAGACGGAGTCTCACTATGTTGCTCAGGCTGTTCTCAAACTCCTGGGCTCAAGCAGTTCTCCCACCTGGGCCTCCCAAGTGCTGGAACTACAGCTGTGCGCCATTGCGCCCAGCCTACAACCTCCCTTCTTCCTACCTCCTCATCATTTTCATTCCCAAACATCAGTCTTCTCTCTGTAATCTCCATGTTTATCTCACTCTCTGCCCTGCTGACACCATGAGAATGGCACCTCACATCTCCAGTTGCAGGGAACATAATGAACTCCTGGCCCCATCACTCTGCTCTGGAATCTACAGCTGCATTTGCACTGAGACCACCTGTGCCTTGCATGGTTGCTCCCTGCCAGTGACTGAGGGTGGCAGGGAAGCTGTAGCAGGCCTGTTGCTGGGGGATGTGGAACTCCATTGATGACTAAGGCAGAGGTTTGAGGTCTCTCCAGTGGCCTTGTTTACCTCTCTTACTTAGAATTCCACTGTGGCCCAAGATGCTTCCTTCCTTCTCTCTCTGTTAACCTTGGATCACACCTGCACTGCGCTCCGATGGCTCTCCTACTGTCTCCTGAGCTCCTTCCCATTTTCCCTTGGAGTCAGTACCCCAATAAGTATCTAGCATGACTAATCCTATCAGGTGACTCAGATCAGCACAGTCATTTTCCCCAGAGAAAAGTTTAGGTTTATGGTTTCAGCGACTGGTACTCACAAATTTCTTTAGTTCTATCTGTTCTCTTCTCTGTCCAAGGCTGAACCTCCATCTGCCAACTGGAAATGTGTTTGGCTGTACCTCAGCCCCTTGTGGAACAATGGCTGGTGACTTCCCAGTATCTGTTCTCCCTTCCCTCTCATAGTAATAGAGCCTCAACTTTTAACTAGGCTCATGGATACCCAAAGTAAAGACTACATTTACCAGCGTCCCTTGCAGCTATGTACAGTCATGGCAAACTCTGGCCAATGCAATAGCAGTGGCAGTGATGTGGCAGTGCAACTTCTGGGTCATATCCTTAAAGACAAAGGTGCATCTTTCCCTCCCTACTGGCTCCAGCATGGATGTGGTGGTGAACCCAGTTAGATCAAAAGGAGAAGCGGCACCCCAGGGGGACAAAGCAACAAGATAGAGGGAGTTTAGGCCTCTCATAACTGTGGAACAGAAGCCTCTTATGAGCTTGGGCTTCCATGAAGAAAGAAATAAACTTTTATTTTCCTGTTTAACTCACTGTTACTTCAGGTCTCTGTCATATCCACTGAACCCACAGCCCGAAGCATAAGACATCCCAAGCCTAACTCATAACCTTGCATCTTCCCTGGTAAACCAAGTCCTCGACTCCACTGCCTCTCTCAAAAGCTCCTTCTTCTATGATCTCACACTGAACATCTAGGTGGCCTTTCTTCCCTGAGTTAAATCTGACCTACTGTGCTATGTTTTGTTTGTCAGGTTTATTGAAGTATAATTTACATACCATAAAATTCAGACTTTTAAAGTCTACAGTTTGGTGAGTCTTGACAAGTGAATATAGCTGTGTAACCATCACCACAGTCAAGTAGAGAAAGTACATCTGTTGTCCCCATCCCCACCTCCAGTCCTGGGCAGCCACTGGACTGCTTTGTGCTCTGTAGTTTTTCTTTTTCCATACTGCCATATATGGGATATAGACCCACATGATACGTAGTCTTTTGTATCTAACTTCTTTCAGTTCACAGAAGGCTTTTGAGATCCAACCATGCTGTTGCATCAGTCACTACCTCGTTCCTTTTTATTACTAAGTAGCATTCTATTGTGTGGAGTTACCACAATTTTCTACCCATTTACCAGCTGATGGACATTTGGCTTGTTTCCACTTTTTGATTATTATGAATTAAGCTACTGTGCACATTTGCATTTAGGTCTTTATACAGATATATCTTGCATTTCTCTTCAGCAGATATCTATAGTGGAACTGCAGGGCTGAATTAACAACGTCTTAATAATCTCCCTGGCCGGGCGCGGTGGCTCAAGCCTGTAATCCCAGCACTTTGGGAGGCCGAGGCGGGTGGATCACGAGGTCAA